ACCCTCAACACAGAGCCTCGTCTCGTGCTTGTAGGGAACAGCTATACCAGCTATACCTGCTTTATTTACCGCTTGGATAACTACTTGGGAATGCTACAGTACTACTCACACTAGGGGGAAAGGACATCTCTGGCGGCGGAAACCTCTCTTCTCTCAGCTGCCACACTAGATAAGGTCATCTTTGTGCCAAATATGTTTTTTGAGGTGGATATATATCGACAGAAGATAGTGGTGTAGTGTTGGATCAGCAGTTAGGTAATTTCTGAAGTGTTATAGTCAATCCCAAAAAATGTTTTATGGAATAATAAAGCAAATGTAAATCTTGCTGCATTATTCAATGTGTTAATTTATTTATAAAATGTAAGGATTCAATGGAATTTCTCACATTTTCACGTTTGTCCTTGAGAGTTTATGTGAGTGCAATGTTATATAGATGGTAGGAAACATATATATATATATAACAATTATAAATTAACAAGCAAATAACTTAGCAGGTGGCTTCATATACAATGATCAGCCACAACATTAAAATCACCTGCCTAATCCCGTGTAGGTCCCCCTTGTGCTGTCAAAGCAGCTCTGATGTGTCAAGGTCATGGACTCCATAAGACCTCTGAATAGGTCAATGAGCCTAGGCAGCCGACGATCCTGACGACAGTTCACCATTTGTCCTTCCTTGCACCACTTTTGATTGGTACTAACCACTGCATACCGAGTGTGGAGATCTTTGTAGATTGTAGGACTATACTATGACAGGCCTCTTGTGACCTTTAAAAGCCATGTAAACATTGTCTTTTCTCATAAAAGGCAGTGTTTACTTTCTGAGACTTCAGGGACAGTCTGTTTGTACCATAACCACATCCAGATCCATTACGTTATTTGTAACAATCAGGTGCTTTGATGGGGCGTAAAATTATGGTGACATTTTCCAAGTTCACTTCATTTTATAGATTTTTTACATGGCAATTTTATTTGTAAAATAATTACAAAATAATTTGGTGAAAGTTTTTTAAACCCAGCGGACCTGATGGAGTGTTTACAAAGTCAATTTAGCTGTAGAGTTGTGCAGAAATGAAATGTATTGGAAAAGCAAGCTATGATTTCGATAAATGTTCTGTTTGTTGATGAATATCTCTTTTAATCTTTTTTACATTCTGTGTTTCAGTACTTGACTTGAAACAGAGCTTTCATGAAAAGCACCTGTGATTTATTTGAACTGTGTTGTAAAGGTAAAATAAAAGGACAGCGTATCACATATGTAAAGGCAATGCTTTGCTTTGATAGAGAGCCGTACAATGTATCACATTGTGAAAAACCTCTAGACTAGTAACAATAGCTTATATCACCAATCTATTGGAGAACAGAGTGGAAGCTGCAGAACTAGTACCTTAATATTGCAAAGAGAATTAAATATTATCCAGGACTTAGATAACCCATCTTCTGTGACCTATTTAATGTATGTATGTCTGTCTGAATACAAACACATTGTACGCTGTAATGTTCCCCCTAGTTCTACATAGGTCCCCACGCATCCTGCTTGCTGTAAAAAAAATACAAAAATGTAAAAATAAAACATTTCTCACCCTTGTCTGGCACCAAGACTCCATTGGTGCTGTTTCACCTCCCTGATTCTGGTTCAAGTTACGTGTACAGGAAAAAGTCCCCCTAATTGAGCTGCAGGAAGAAAAGCAGAGACACAAGCTGCTGGGGCGGAGAGAGCATCCTTTGGACAAAATAATACAGCAAGCATCTACAAATCATGTTAATAGCCTCTTTGCATTACCCACACAAGTTGGGACTCATCCACCAAAAATGTCAATCAATGCCTAGATCACCTGACTGCCCCAACAGGGTGATGAACTTGGTACCCAGGAGTCCATGAACTACAGATAGCTGGCCCTCATACAGCCCTGGAGTCGAAGGGGAGCCCTGTTATAGTGCTGCAATGTGGATCCTAGAAGAACTCTAATCTTGCCTTTTATGGTAATTGGCTGACCCGTGCTCAGGGCCCACCATCAGAGAAATGCTTACACATCATGTAGGTGGTTGCCATTTTTTTTTTTTTGCAATGTTTGATATTATTATTACTTTTCTTATATCTTTATGTTTTTATGTATTTTAAAGTTGTCCCTAGCTCCAGCAGATATCTTATATGCCTGTCATGTTCTTACATCATGTAATTAACTAGGCAGTCAAACTGCTTCTTTGGCTGAGTCCTCCCTGATAAGTAGACACCACCCTGAATATCCAGCCCTTTATAGTTACTGCATGCTTGCTGACTTATTATTACGTTCAATCATCCTATTGATGTTTTATCATATTATTTTCTGCTTAATATAATGTAGTGCAGTGTCATGACTATGAGATTGGAACCAGTGGCCTTATTGCTATGTTAAACACATGTCTACAGTATATATACCGTGATACACATAGGCCTAGTGTCCATTAAGTAGACATGCTCTCCTAGCTTGAAACTTAATATTACATTAAAAATAGTGCTATTATTTCCATGCCAAGTTTATGTAATCCTCTGTTTGATATTATTGTGCCTGCTTTTGCTTGTTGTGGCATTGTAAGCTCTTTTGTCATCTTATGCACAGCAAAGATAAAAAAAAAAAAAAAGGCTGACCGAGGAAGCTGTATGAAGGGTTGAGTCTAAATAGAGAGTAGGATCATGTTTGCATTTCTAGCACTATGATGTCCTTTAAGGTTCATGAAGTAGACAGTCCTTTGGTTAGAGAGGGAGAATAGTAAAAAAGAAATATGAAAAAGTGAAAAAAAGTAAGACAGATCTGGCGAGCAAAAGAGAGATTGGAAAAAAAAATTGAGCTTTTAAGCAGACTTATCACTAAATGTAGGAATATTGGTAAAAGATTGCGCTTTTTTGTTTGCGCTCAAAGGGTTTGTCCATGCTCCATAACCACTTTATTGATTTGAAATGGTCATGGTTCTTGGACTCTGTACGTGTAGAGTTTCACTTTAAAATGGTGTACATACCTCGATTAACCCCCTATCTGTCAGAGGTGTAACTTCACCTGCAGCAGCATCATTACCCAACTCTGAACAAGAGTTACGAGTAGCCTAATACGAAATCTGTGCTCAGAATTTTTTTTATTTTTTTTAACATGGCGTGGTCACCACCTTAGAGAGGGTTTTCTAACCAAAATCAGTGGTTTATGAAAGCAAAATTGTTTGGTTGGCGGAACCTTTGAAAGACACTGTTTGCATTTTTCCGTTCACAAACATTACAGTTGCTATCTCTCTGTTTTCAGTTCTATGTATTTTGTTGTTCGTGAGTTTGTGAGTTATACTTATTACAGAATATTATTACTTTGAAATTTTTGTGCTATTAAATGATTCTATCACAAACACTGTGTTACATTGTAACACCATTGTACTGTCTTATAGTTTAATTCAATGCAATTTGAAGATTGTAAGTTTGATATGAGGAGGACAGGAAAGTGCAGAAATTTACGAATGTCAGAGTTTTATGGGAATGGATTGAAGGTTCATAAATGATCAAAGAATATGCAACGCTAGTCTAAAGGGTAAGGGTGGATTTTGTTTTCCCCATGTTCAGATTATCTAACGAAAATACAATTGGATTTAGAGGAAAAACATTGTTTGATTGAATAAGAGTTGTTATGCTGCCTTTGCCTTTAGATTCCTGCATCTAACAGACGGAAGTGGTTATGCTTGCTTGAGATTAAACCTTTTGATGATGGGTTTAACACCAGAGTCTCTTTTGAAATATTCTACAGTGATATTTAATGTTAAGTGTCAGCCATGTACATGTAAAATGACAAAATTTATGGATGTATATGGGATCGTTCCTGGAAAAAATGTCATGGAGGCATGATCTAAGTCCACACAAAGGACTGAATTTACATAGTTTTAAGATAAATAATGTATCTGTGAGACATCACAATATGATTGATTGACTTACATGTGCTGTAAGAGATTAATTTTAAAAGACAAAGAACAGAAGATGGTGTGCTTAGAGGACTTCAGGGTTGTCCACATAACAAGGGGTTCAGTTTAAATTATCGAAACAAATTCAGATGGAAAAATATCATAAACTATAACCTTTAATTACTAGTTGTTTAAAGATTCTCTGCTTACAGCCATACCTGAAGTTATAGTTCTATAAGTACTTATCTCTTAACACTAGTTAATAATACTTTTACAAGTTTGATAGCAAAACCCACAGAACATTAGTCTATCCTAAATAATAAATGTAATAGAAACTGTAAATAGAAATTGTAAAAATATCAGATCTATAAATGTAACATCCAATCATTCCCTTCCTGTAGTACCTCTAACTCAGGTCTTGACAAATCCCAGACACCAGGTCACCATTGCGACTAAGAATTTTGTCGTGGAGCATTGGGTGTTTGTCAGCCTGTTCAGCACTGGCCGATGCAGGCAGCTATGGAGGTAGTGGCGAGTGGACTGTAGTCTTCCAGCTTTTCTTGTTTTGCTCTCACCGAGATATAATGTCATTTCAGCCCCGGCATCAGTAAACGCAAATGAACAGCACAAGAAGATAACAACAGCCATGCTGGACCCATGCAAAAGGATCCACTCTAGCTCTCCCAAAGGTAGGGAGGCTAGGAGGACTTAAATTAAAATAAAATAATAACTTGTTAGAGAATGTGTATGTGTCTGTCAGTGAGTGTGTGTGTGTATTTCTGTCGGTCAGTGAGTGTGTTTTTTTGTCTATCAGTGAGTATGTGTGTGTCAGTGAGTGTGTGTGTGTCTGTCAGTGAGCATGTGTGTGTCTTTATGTGTAAATTTAAAGGACCACTATAGTGTCAGGAATACTGAAATAAAATTACGGAATAATACAATAATTTCTTTAATATTAACTTAAAAACTAAGTGTAAATTCAGAGACCAGGGGGGCATGGTTTGGACTCCGACCACGATGGCCTCCTCACTTGCTAGCTCTGCTCCAACGGTCCCCTGTACAGCGCCAATCATAAAGCCACAGTGCCTAAAATGGGACCCAGTCTGGTCCTCACACCGGACCTATGGACAGTTTCCTCCACATGCCGTCTGGAGCACGTGGCAGCACTCAATAGGATTGGGGAAGAGCTGAGGAATATGGCTGCCACCATGGCCACTAAAGCCGACCTCCAGCTCCCCACATCTACGATCCAGGAGGCAGTAAGGGTGGCGAGTCTGCGGACCGAGGTCACTGCGCAGGAGGGCCGCATCCACACATTGGATTACTTGGCTGAGGCCCAGTCGGCTCACATTGCGGCTTCTGGTTTAGCGGTAGCCTGCCAGGGTGGAATGCCGCTTGCCATGAGACGCCACGTGGAGGATCTGGACAATAGAGGCCAGCGCTGCAACATTAGGGTAAGAGGGGTACCCGAAGTGGAGGGGGAAGAAAATGCAGTCTATTCAGGGTTCTCCTACCTAACACTGCTTGAATTTGAAAGGCCACGCATGGATGATCACTTACTTAGGGATCTCATATGTTGCATGCATTCCTTTCAGATTAAAGATACCATAATGAAAAGGGCCTGGGATAGATCCACATGGGAGTACCGCAGAACACAAGTGGCCTTGTACAATGACCTCTCCCCTCTTACCCTTGAAGCGCGGCGGGCACTGAGGCCCATGACTGCAACCCTGCGGGACCATATCATCCGCTATAAGTGGGGCTTCCCGTTCACATTGTTGTCGCAACACCAGCATGGTTGGGCCTCCTTGCGATGGCCCGAAGACATCCCACAGTTTCTAGAAGAGAAACAGCCGTCCACCAATGTCACTAACTGGGTGCTGGGGCCCTTGGAGCAGAGGCCTCAGCTCCCAGATGCCGTGGAAGTGCTTCTCCTCCGACCATACGCCCCAACAGCCTCTGGATCCAGCTGCCCCCGGGGAGTCTTCAGAGTGGATTTTACCTGCTTGGATCCGCCTACGCCTTCTTGATGGTGACTCCGGTCCTGAGGTATATTCCTGCTGCTTCCTCCCTCTTTTTTTTCTCTTTGTTGTTATTTTTTTCTTTTTGTGATGACATTTGGTTATGCCCTTTGGGGTCCTGCACTCCAGTGGTAACTTTATGCATTTTTTTTTTTTGGGGGGGTGCTATCCACACTTTATTCGCGAGCTGGGCCTTATTGAGCTCCCGACACATGATGGTGCTGCTGACTCTGTTTGCATATGATACCTGGAGGTGTTGCCTTTTGTTGGGTGGTGGGTGCCTGGGAGTTCTCCACAGCCACCACCTGGCTTGGGCCTTTCTTACGCATCGGATGATTGAAATGACACTTGGCATTATTTGCCTGCCTTACTCTGTTCCCCCGGAGGACGGGGTGGTTTTGCCAATGTAGAGGTCACCCCCAGGAGTAAAGGGGTTTCCACCACCAGAGACGTCCTTCTCTCGAGTATGAGGGGTGAACTAACTTTTCACATTGCATTGGTTTACTTAATAACACAAATGAAAATTAAATAGTGGCTAGCACTAGGGTGCGATCAACGGATCATGCTACCATACTAATGAATATCACATAGCGGTTCTGGACCACAGGCTGGCTACTGTTAAATGGCTGACCGAGTGATTGTGTATGTGTACGATGGATAATTGTATATTTTGTTGAAACAGATGTCTACATTGCAGCCTGCGTGCCTTCAATTTCTTGTTATCACAAATGCAAAAATTCAATAAACATTGATTTACAACAAAAAAAATTCAGAGACCACACTTTTGTTAATTCAATAATATTCATTATGAGAGGCTATCAAACAAACAATACATATACATTTGATATAAGCTATGTATTGTTACTAAAACTAGTCATTGAGTGAATGGCAACTAGGGATGTGAATGGGTCGGCATTCCAGTTCGGCATTCCGAAATTCGTGACTTCGGCACTTCAGAACTTTGGCACTTTGGTTCGGCACTTCGGGACTTCAGCACTTCGGCACTTCAAAACTTCAGAACTTCGGGACTTGGGGTAAGTGTAGGGTTAGTGTAGGGTAGGGTTGGGGTAGGGTAGGGTTTGGCATAGGGTTAGGGTTAGGGGCATGGTTAAGGGTAGAGTTACGGTTAGTGCAGAGTTAAGGGTAGGGTTAGGGTTGGGTTAGGGTAGGTTTAGAAGTAGGGTTAGGGTAGGGTCAGGGGTAGGGTTAGAGGTAAGGTTAGAGGTAGGGTTAGGGGAAGGGTTAGGGTAGGGTTAGGGTAGGGTTAAGGTCAGGGTTAGGGGTAGGGTCAGGGGTAAGGTTATGGGTAGTGTTAGTGTTAGGGGTAGGGTTAAGAGTAGTGTTAGGGTTAGGGGTAGGGTTAGGGGTAGGGTTAAGGGTAGTGTTGGGGTTAGGGGTAGGTTTAGGGTTGGTTTAGGAGTAGGGTTAGGGTTAGGTTAGGGTAGGGTTAGGGGTAGGGGTAGGGTTAGGGTAGGGTTAGGGTAGAGTTAAGGGTAGTGGTAAGGTTAGGGGTGGTGTAGGAATAGGGTTATTGATAGGGTTATGGTAAGGTTAGGGTTAGGGGTAGGGTTGGGTTAGGGTAGGGTAAGGGGTAGGGTTAGGAATAGGGTTAGGGTTGACCCCTAACCGTACTCCTACCCCTAACCCTACCCTAATCCTAACTCTATCCCTAACCCTACTCCAACCCCTAACCCTACCCTAACCCTCTCCTGTTTTGCCACTTTTCAGAAATCCGAAGCACTTCGGCACTTCCGAACATTCAGAAACATCCGAATTTCTGAAATTTGTCCGAATTTGCATTCAGAACGAAATGAATTGCACATGTCTAATGGCAACTAAACTAAATTAACATAGCGAAACAGGCATAGACACTTGATACAGTTACCACTCCATTGATCAGCAGATCAAATAAGAGAGTTTGTGGTATAGAGCAGGGTTTTTAACAGGATCAGTCCATCCTTCTGCTGGACACATCTCCCTCAGCCAATCCCTTTGGATTGCAAGGGAATGGGGGTGTAGTTTATCAACAATTTAACTAGTTTGCCTGGTTAAAGGCCATGTGCTCACAGAGGACTCCATTATTGCCTAAGGGTAGAATGTGGTTTGACTTCCTGAATTAGAACTGCCACCCATTCAGTTCTACTTTTGGCACAAGTCTGTATATTGGAAAAGCTTAAGGATTCAGGGCAGAGATGGGACACCAGAGACCAAAACTATACCAAACGCCTTAAAACCTAGACCGTACTGTCAAATGTGAGATATTTGGGAGGTATGGAGTGAGCACAGTTCTGGTGGATGTCAGGTTATGTAATAATGTGCTATAGAATGCCATGTCACTCATATGTGTCGCCCATAGCTATACATTCTGTCACTGTAGAACATCAAGAAGCCTTGCTAACTGTTGAAAATTCATTTAAACATTTGTAGCCCCCACATACGGCAGCATTTTAATGTCAGAATCAGAATCGAAGATTATTTATCAATATTAACTATTTAAGAATTTTGCCACCAAATGGTGGCGCTATATTGATGACATGATGTTGTTGTGAAGTAGATCATTGGAATCTTGAACGATATTTTAATTTTTCTGAGCAGTTGTTCTGATTACATCTAATTTACCATGATGGCTGATCCTGATGTTTTACCTCTTTTGGATATTTTGAATATTAAATCTGATAAACATAAGACTATCTTGTTTAGAAAGGCATTGGACAAAAACACAATTTAGCATTTTACTAACTTTCATCCTCCTGTGTTTAGAGCTCTTCTGAAAATCAAGAATTTGAGCATCAGGAGACTGGTTTCACAGATGGGTAAGGCAGACCATTGTCTGAGTTGGCTCAAAGATTCAAAATGCAAGGATTTCCCCCGACTTTACTTAATGAACAACTAACACAAGTTAAAACAGTAATCAGAAGTATTTTTGCCAAATGCAAAAAAAAAGAGACATACATACCAGAATTACCTTTATTTTATCAAGTTACAGGACCCTTTCTTCTGACATCAAAAAAAATTGTTGACAAACACTGGCATATTCTATTTGTGAAATGATCTTACCTAAAGGTGGTAGTCCAAAGTGGTGAGTTAAGGCACACCCTTGCAGTTTAACACAAACCGAGGAGACTCTAGGAAGAATTCTCCAAGGTTGTGAAACAATGCACTGGGGCTTTGCAGGAAAAGTACTCCTGGATATGCAAAACAGACAAGGGAATTCCAAAAGAGTAGTCAGGTATGGTTCCAATGGTTGGGGCAGGTGGAAATCAGGCAAAAACAGTAAACAGTTCTGAAGGTCAAAGCAGGAGTCAGATGAACTAAACAAATTCCAAGACAGGAACAAAACAATCTGACCAGGAGGAAGTGGCAAGCCAGGGCTTTTAAGGGTAGCTAATTAGCTACTTAAACAGGAACCACGAGCAGGTGTGAAGCAGTCCAGGCTTAGAGATGCAGATACCAATGGCGTTAGAAATGAACTAGAATGAACATGAGAAGTGGCGATTAGGTAAGTTCAATCCCAGCCAGGCCCTGAAAAGTGATGTCCATGAGTGGCAGTCTGCTTGGCACGGTGCGAACCGTGACAGTTTGATTGTCATCCAGACATTAAAGAGTTTGATAGTAAGCCAATGTTAGCTTTTAAGAGATGTCCCTCTTTGAGTGATAAATTGGTGAAGGTAGAATTACCTTTAATTCAAACTATTACATCCCATAAAAAGAGCAACGTTTCATGCTTTAACTGTGTTTGCTGTCATTCTGTGATCCATGGAGCCATATTTTATCATCCTCATAGTGGACAAAAGTACTACATAAAACAATATGTCACATCTAATACCACTTACGTAGTAGATATTTTAAAATTCTCCCGTGCTAGAAGGCGTACCTATAACTTAGGTAGTAATTTCTTCAATGGCTGGTGCGGCTGAGACAATTAATGTTTTTACTTTTTTTTTTTACTTTTTATTCATTTATATTTCCTCGTTCTTATAATAAGGCAGTCAAGCAGGGAACTCATGGGAGGTAAATTGAATGGATTAAATTGTTTATTCAGATCTAACTGTGGCGGTCTGGGTCTCATTTGGGTCCCAGATCATGGTCTGATTCATGTAGTTGTCTTGGTACGTTTTTTTGTAAAGTGTGATGCCCTGTGATTACCGGTTATACTTGGGTTGCTTGTACCGTAATCTATGACTGTCCAAAAAAAAAGAATTTAAAAAGAAGAAATTACCCTGTGCTTTAGCATATGTAGGACAGACAACTCAAAAGATGAATGGAATATTTTCTAAACACAAATCATCAATTATGACAGGTCTCCTTGATTTACCTCTACGTGCCCATTTTATTGAAGCATGACATAATGGTTCACAGCTCAAATCCAAGATAATTGAAAATGTCAATGAAAATTTCAGAAGAGGCAACAGAGTGAGGCGATTACTGTTACGTGAAGCATATTGGATAAGGGAATTAGATGCATTAAACTCACAAGGCCTAAATCAAGAATATAATCTTACTACCTTATTCTGATTAGTTGATTTTAATTTACTTCTAATTCTAATATATAATTTATTTATTTTTTACAGATTTTGTTCAATTATTGGTGCTGGTTTATTGTCAAACCCCTTTTTAAACAAGCTCTCTTCTCCTGGGGGTATTCTTGTATATAGTGACAATTTATTTTAAGTAATTATATAATTTATTTGTATTACTATTTTTACAGGAATATTTTTTTTAATGTTTTTATAAATAGTTATTACATGTATTGTCACTTTAAGAAGATCTCTTAAAGATATCGCAAACACTGCCACTTTAAAATTAAGTGTATTAATAATTATGTCTTAAGAAACATGAACATTTTTTATCATAACACGAGACACTGTCATTTTAATTCATAACACTTGAGCTATAGCACTTTAACTTTTTGACTTTTTATTGCAATTTTATTAAAATTTTTCTTTTATTGAGACTGAAAGTAATAACATACAGAAAAAAGAAACCAAGTTATTGCATACGGCTGCAAAATAGTATTACATAAACATGCACAATATAATAAACTCCTGTGTTTGTCTGTCTCATTTTATGTTGGTAGTGATTCCCTTTTATTCCAGAAGTTTGGTCCTTAAGGGGTTAAATATATAGGATCAACAATGTTACTCGGACTGGACAAGTGTATGTGTTATGCTAAACTGTAAATGCAATCAGTCCTATGCTGCAACTAAAACTAAGACTTGTTAATCCTTGTAGATCGTAGTAGCTTTGTAATGTGCACTGTCAAGCACATCCAGGCTAACAGGAGTCGTCATGGACCATTAGATAATTGGTAACTGGACATGTGTAAAGTATGCAGGTTAGTTGGGAGCCACTGGACAGTGAATCAGCAGAGCATGGCTGGCCTCAGCTACATGTGCCAACAATCAAACAACTTAAAAATTGCATGCGCAGTATACATAGGAGGAAATAGGACTTCAAGGAGTGCAAGGGATTCTAGGCATGTGGGTAAACGATAGAGTAAGATTAAGTTTAATAAACAGTTTTATGGCATTCAGGATGGCGACCCAATGTGCGTTGGATAAACACGCTTAAACTAAGTGCGCTGGATACGGATTCCTCTGAAAGAACATAATTAACCCGAATCATGTAGGTGGAGAATGGCACTACAGGATATCTTGGCTTATACCAAGTAAAGACAGTGGTGTATACAAGGAGATTATTAGCATGTCGTCGAAGATAGCGACAAGGATCTCATGTATAAAAATTGCCATTGCGTGTGTTAAATATTTAAGGTTAATTTGCAATGGGACACCACCTTGTAACATGCCATTGCACTTAAGAAAATAAACTTATGTTATTTCTCTTGCTCCTTCACTTCGCCTATGGACACTATAAAGAGTATTTACACATGCAGCAGACAGAGAGTAAGCATGGTGAGGACATTGCTTGGATTGTGTGGTGAAAGCATGGTTATGTGGGTAGGCAAGGATCAGGGGAACCTCAATGTTATTTCAGTAGTGAGTCTTATGTGAGTCCACCTTAAAGACCGGTATGAAACCGAAATGCTTGGTAGTGTATTCCACAGGGTTCTCTTTGGGTAAGTCCCACTTCCTCCTGGGTTTCACTTCACTAAGATGCAGGATAGGGCATGCTGTAGTGCTCATTGGATCCTCCTTGCTCGCGGCTCACCTGACTCCAACCTGATGGTAGTGTGAGCAGAGTCTTGATGTGAGGACGGGTTCGGTATGTACCACTCTGCCAGCCCCGAGCTCTGCATGAGCCGACCGTTCGTGCCCTCGGTTCCCGTTCCATATGTACCACTCTGCCAGCCCTGGGCTCTGCATGAGCCGACCGTTCGTGCCCTCGGTTCCCGTTCCATATGTACCACTCTGCCAGCCCTGGGCTCTGCATGAGCCGACCATTCGTGCCCTCGGTTCCCGTTCCATATTTGACTGGTAACGGGATTCCTGGCTTATGTGTTTCGCTCAGGCGTGGGGCTGGGGTGCGAGGAACATCCTCTAGGGGATCAAGGCCCTGACCCATGTGGGCCCTTTTGGGATTAAATTCCCATATGAGTCCAAACTAGTTAAATAACTTTTGAGATATATTCCTCCATAATGCTTCCAGCTTTGGGCATGTCCACCAAATATGTGGAAAGTCATCCTGTGTTAAACCACATCTCCAACAATTAGTGGAGACATTAGGATACATTTTATAAGTAATTGAGACGACCCTGTACCAATGTTTTAAACGTTTGAATTGAACCTCATTAAGATTTAGGCAGTGGACTGCCTTGTAAAAAAAACAACCAAAGAACTGTTCCATTCCTGTAAATCCATCTGAATCTGTAGTTCCTTTTCCCATTTGTTTATAGCTGATGAGAAGGTCTCATTTTTACTTTCTCTGATCATCTCATGACATTTAGCAGTTAGGTGATTATGGTCTCCCTGTTTTAATATCTTAAGTATATCAATAGCTCTGTTTTTCATTATTGAAATTATGTCAGCTCTAAAAAATTAAAATAAAAATCTTTAATTCAAAGATATTTAAACACTTCATGGCCTGTGAGGTCATGTTCAAGTTGTAACTCTTAAAAAGGTTTAATATTAGTTCCTATCATTAAATCTTAAATATGACTCATCCCTTTATCCTGCCAAGACGTCATGTCTACATTTTCTATCAGTTCATTAAGGACCCTTAGAGCTACACAAGGTAACATTTTATCTTTAAGTCCAATTTTATTTTTGAATCTGATCCAGTTTAACAAAATATGACCAACAGGTAAGTTCTTACCTTAGTTAATTATACTAGAATTCACCCATGAACAGCATGTCTTGTTTCTCCGAATCATTTGAAGGGATCCTATAGTGCCAGGAAAACAAACCTGCCACTATAGGCTCTTGAAGTGCCCCCCTCCCTCGGAGCCCCCTCCTTCGGCACGTAAGGGGTTAAAACCCCTTGAGCCACTTACCTTAATCCAGCACAGGGCTTCTTCTGTGCTCTCCTCCCCCGCCGACGTCAGCTCCCGAGTGGAGCCGAATGCGCATGTGGGGCCAGAGGCGCACACTCATTCAAACCCCCAATAGGAAAGCATTACTCAATGCTTTCCCAAGGGGATCTTATTTGACGCTGGACTCCGTGAGGACATGCAGTGTCAAATAAGTGCAATTTACTCAGTGTGGATTGCAGAAGTGGCCTCTAGTGGCTGTCAGGGAGATAGCCACTAGAGGCTGGATTAACCCTGTGTAAACATGCAGTTTCTCTGAAACTGCTATGTTTTCAGCTGCAGGGTTTAAACTAGGATGACCTGGCACCCTGACCACTTAATTGAGTTGAAGTGGTCTGGGTGCCTATAGTGGTCCTTAACTCAATTCTGTAGCAACTTTAGTTTATTGCCCTGTTATTTTGGGATGCTACTGCATGTATTAGCTCTTTTTTATATGCATTAATGTTGATGTAATTATTTTGCATTATTTATTATCTCTTAACATACCCCAGGACTATAGTTGCTTTTTTATTTATTTATCTATTTATTTTATTTTTTTGTATTATTCATTGCAACTATATTGTATTCACTATTTTTAGTTTTGTGTGTACATAATCTATAAACATGTAAATGTATGCCTTTGGCTTAATTTTTTACTGTGCACTTTTTTCATACATTTTTATTGCTTAGTGTTCTGAATCTCTGTATTTGTGCACCTGGTGGCATCTCTATGTAAGCGACAGATTCTATTGCACTGCCCCTTTTTTCTTGGTACTCCAGGGTGGCACCGCCATGTGATACCATGTGCGATTTTGGCTTCCTTCTCTTAGTTGAGATATTTTCGTGCTTAGAGCACAGACGTCTGACGCCATTAGGTTTTTGGCACTGATGTCATTGTGCCTTTGTTGTGTCCATAACGCGATTGTTTTGGCCCTCTCTAATATGCTATAATTTTGGCACTTTCTTAAGGGCTCATTGTGCCAGTGTTGGACCTGGGGTCCCCCCGGTGCCAGCTTTTCTGTGGGTTCTTACTATCAGTTTGGTAGGTTGAGCAACTTCCATTGCCGTTAGTTTGTGACTTACTTTGGTTTTTTTCAAAAGGACACATGATGGATATCTTATTAAAGTGAGTATACTATTATTTTTTAATTCATTTATTATTTTTTATTATTTTGACAATTTTGCTGATTTTTTAATTATGATAAGACTGTCTACAAATATATTGATTTTTACTTTGGGTGTTAGCCTGAAAATTACCCATTGTAGAGTCAAAACATTGATGAGTACCTGGTTCTAATAAATTTGTCTTGCTGAGCTTTAGAGTGACTGGACCTTTTTCTCTTTCTGTTGAAAAAATGCTTATGGCTAATATCAGTCTAATACCAAAAGATAGCAAAAAATAAGTCGGAAGAGAGTGCTGAGAATGGACAACAGCTCAATTAGCCTGCCCTTCGGTGGGTCTCCGCTCAGTTCTCAAACTCGTTCTAGCTCAGCCATTTCTCAAGCTGATTTTAGCTTATCTTGTGCCATTACAGAGAGAACCAGGCCATGCATCTCAGGCTGATTCCACCCAAAAGGGCAGAACAGATCCAAAATACAGACTTGGTCTCTCTGCACGAGAGATACAGAAAACCCAGACGATCGTTTCAACCTTGTGAGGCATCATCATTGAGGTATACACAATATCTCTCTAGGCACCATGAGCCTACCAAAAGATGACAATGATAAAACTGAATAAAAAATTTTAATCCAATATAATTGATCAATGTGGACAGCAAAATCTATTTGTCAATTTTGACAAACAGATAAAAAAAAGTTATTACCAAATTGGTGTACATTGACCAATCAGGATTAATTTCAACAAGATCCACTCAAGATAAGATGAGAAAAACATTAAACATCTTGTTCTTAGCAAGGGGAAAGGGTAGATCCATGATGGCCCTGTCTTTAGATGCCGAGACGTTCTCTGCCAGGGATAATCTGGTCTACCAAGTTTTCTGTAGAAGCAATATTGTGTCTGTATAGAGCTCCTAGTACCAGAATTATGGGTTCAGGGATTGTATCACCCTGGTTTGAAATATCTAACGGTACAAATTGTAGATGGCTCCATAGTCATTTGGAATAAAATTAAGATTAGATACAAAATTGTAGATGGTTCAATAGTCATTTGGAATAAAATTAAGATTAGATACATTTTATTATTTAACATTGATGTATATATGTATATATGTGTTAGCGGCTATAGAATTTAACGTAGAAAATATTAATCTAAAAAACTTGAAAGATAAAGGCATTAAAATTGTGAACCAATAGATATCAGAAGGGAAAGTCCTTCCATTCCAAGAGTTATAAAAAATAATTATATACAAGAAAGGGAACTATTCAATTTTATGAGAATAAGAAATTATATTGAGAGTAATATCCTCACAGTAATCATACTGAAAATGAGGACATAGAAAATTACTTTTTTATCAAATGGAAAAAATAAACAAGGGTAAAAATCCTATAATGTAATAAAAGATAAAAGTCCATTTGAGTATCAAACACTCATTAAAAAAATCAGAGAAAGAGATCCAAATGGAAGCTGTGGAATCTCATTGGTTATCAGCGATTGGTGATACTAAATCTACTTTTTACCATGCAAACCTGCTAGAAACCTATTTAAAATGACTGTATAGATGGTACATGATAAAATTAAATTCTGTATGTTGGATATGCCATCAAGAATCAGGAACATTCATACATTTATGTTGGAACTGTAAACCCATAGAACCACTCTGGGGAAAATATTTGATTTTAAGTCTCAGTTAACAGAAAAAAAGTTGAATCCAGACTTAGATATGGCATTATTACATCTGAGTTTATGTAATGCTAAACTACTGGAACGCAACTGCAGAAAAACGTTTAAATACTTCAATTTATAATTTTATTCTTTTTGTTATTGAATTGCAGGAGTGGTTACTGTAGCTTTAAACCCTTATAGCAGGTTGTTAGTTGCAGGAAAAAAAATTAAGCCACTGAAGTTTTGCATAAGTCAAGCAGTCCCAATTAAGGATAGTGCAGAGAATGCATGCAGAATTAGGTTGAATTAAATGCAGTAGAATTAGCTTCAGGAGAGTTTAACAATGAGGCAGCTTATTATTTGCAACTGAGAGCAATTGGATTGAAGGAAAAAGTACTTAGTTTAAGAAGCAGTTTCCAGGAAACTGGAGAGTTCAAATTAAGCAGTTCCTTAGGGGAAGGAGCAGAAGTCCGTTTAACAATCCGAGGTCGAGGAGTGGAGAAGGAGGGTAGTCGTTTTCAGAGCGGTTCCGGTACACGGAGAAGCTTCAAATGAAATTGGGTAGCCGGTAAGAGGTTCACAGGAACTCGTTCAATAATCCAGCAACTTTGAATCTGGCGCGGTCTTCCTATGTAGCGCGAGGAGACCGCGTCAGAGAAGGGGCGGGGCAGAGCTCCGTCAACCCGGAAGTCTCTTAATTTCGCGAAACCGGCAGATATAACCTGACAGTTTACTTGTTCTCCCAAGGAGAAAAATATTCCTTTTTATCTATATTGCTTTAGCAGGTAAAATTGCAATAGTAAGGAACTGGAAGAATAGTGACAACATTAGCATAAAAACAATAGGTGAACAAACTGACTTTCAAGCCGCCATTGAAAAAGGTTTGTTCTATAATAATGGTTTTGGGTTAGATTGGAATAATGAGATTTGGCCCACTTGGTGAGGAAATGGGAAACAATTAAAAATATAGAAAAACTGCTGAGAGAATTTGTAGATTTGAATGTGGTATACATTTAAAGTTTATTTGTATTTCTTCATAATTTATTATAAGAAAATATATATGAATTGAGTGAAAATGTTTGTAACTTAGAATTTTGCACTAATATATATATCTGTAGAATGTGGGAGTATAAGACACATTCACACAAGTAACCTTTAAAGTGAAAGATGATAAAAAGAACCTTTTAGCGAAGTGGAATTTGATGAAAATGATCATTGCGCCAAGCCATTGCTATAAATCAAGTTACTCGTAAATCAGACAAGACCAAGACCCCT